GCTTACTTCCAAAAATAGATAAATCAAGTGGATTGATAATCTTTTCACAAGGAATTGAATCATTCATCTGTGCAGAATGTAATATAAATGTAACGCCTGTAAAATCTGGTGAAATCAAAGCTGGACCAACAATTTTAGTATTACATAATTTTCCATAAAAGTTAATCGCACAAAATTCACACTTAGTTCCAGACCAGAAACCTTCTTCATAATTTGAAGAACATATGCATTGTCCTTCTGAATTACAATCGCCATGATTTGAGCAATTGACATGTCTGTCACAATTATTTAAACTGGAATTCTGATTATTGAATGTTTCATTATTCAGGTTAGATGTTGTTGAATTTACAGTGCTTTGATTATTTAGAATTGTATTATTGATTGATAATGTCGAATTATTTGTGACATTACTTGGTAATACTGAATTACTATAATTGGAAATTGTATTGTTAGAAATAATTGTTGAATTAATAATTAAAGTGTTGTTTGTGCTGTTAGAGATATTTGATGTTTGATTGACCTGGTTTTGAACTTCAATTACTGAACTATTTCCAAAAGTAGTTTGATTGTTAATTAGAGTTTGATTAAGTGTTGAATTTTGATGTTCCACAGTTGACTGATTGATAAATGTGTTATTTGAATCACTTATTGTGTTATTAGAAATTAGTTCTGTAGTATTAGAAGTATTGGAAGTTTCGTTAACAATGGATGAATTATTGGAAATAATAGTTTGGGAAGAGTTGTTTTGAATTGTTCCATTATTATTGGATTCTGTTGATGTTTCGTTAACAATTTGTGAATTATTCAGAGTTTGATTAGTTTCAACAATGCTATTATTCGAAACATTTGTTTCATTCATAAGAATAGTCGTTTCGTTATCAACAACTCCAATTGATGAATTTGTGGTTGTATTCACTTGTTGTGAAATATTTGAACTATTTCCCATAAAAGTAGAATTAGTAGTGCTGTTCACTGAATTATTTGTTGAATTCACAAATGATTCATTTCCATAATTAGTAGAGTTGGTAATACTGGAATAATTGCTTGTACTATTGCTGTTCATTGAAATATTCAGTAATTGTGTGGAATTTCCTAGTGTATTATTATTAGCAACATTTTGCGTTGTATTCGACAGTGAGTCATTTCCGTGAATATTTGTAGTATTGGCAACAGTGGAATTGGAAATTGTTTGTGAAGAATTACTTTCCATTGAGGAATTATTCAGTACAATCGTAGTATTTGATAAATTTGAAGAATTACCAACTGTATTATTATTAGAAACTACCTGTGTTGTATTCGAAAGTGAGCCATTTCCATAATTAGTAGAATTGGAAAATGTTGAATTACCATTCATTGAGGAATTATTCATTACTTTTGTAGAATTTGATAAAGTTGTTGAATTACCAACTGTAACATTATTAGAAACCACTTGTGTTGTATTCGAAAGTGAGCCATTTCCATAATTAGTAGAATTGGAAAAGGTCGAATTACCACTCATTGAGGAATTATTCAATACGTTTGTAGAATTTGATAAAGTTGTTGAATTACCAACTGTAATATTATTAGAAACTTGAGTAGTGTTAACTATTGATGAATAATTATTCAATGTGGAATTATTTAATACTGTACTATTGTAAACAGTATTGTTCTTAATCATTGACGAGTTGGAATTAATAATAGTTTGATTGACTGAAACTGAACTGTTTGTAACCACAGTCGAATTGGAAGAAACATTAGACGAAACTACTGATTGAGAAGAAATACATTTCGAATCAACAAATGGTGAATAAGGATCCCAATTAGTAAAATTCATGAACTGAGTAGTTTCGAATATAGTTACCATCGTTGCCGAATCTGGTATAATCAGAGTTCCATAAATTTTTGAATTCGAAGCTGTCACTTCTGTGGCCAAAATATTTCCATGAATTTCAGAATCTTCCCTCATTTGCAATAAACTAACAGACCAATAAACATTATTATAACTTGAACAAT